TGCGGAGATGCGGAGATGCGGAGATTTTTTTTCCCGGAGCGGGGGGGAGGGGGCGGCTTGGGGGGAGGTGGTGGTGGCGGCCTCGCTGCGGGGCCGAGCAGTGGCCCGTACTTGCCAGGCGACGTGACCGCGGGGGAAGGGGAGGGAGGCGCGGGGGGAGTGGGAGGACATGGCTGCTTTTCCCCTCTTCTGCCTCAGGGGTCGCTCCCTACAGGGGGTGGGTGCTAAAGGGCACCCCTCTTCCCCGAATTGGGAGAAGAAAGCGGCCCTAAAACTGAAAAGTCGTGTCGGTGAGGCTGTATGGCTCAGAGGCCTGGAGCCTGGGCAGTTTCCTTAAGGGACGTGTAGCCTTTATTGCTGACTGTAACCGAAAAGGAGGGGAGTCAATTCTGGTCTTCTGCTAAAGTTAGTGGGAGAAAGACAAACTGGAGAAAAGAGTTATGGGGATTGTGGTGAATAGAAGAGCTAAACCTTGCTGAGATGGTGTGTGTGTTTGTTTCCTGCCTATGAGAAATGTGTCATTGTTTCTTTTTAGATAGCCTCAAAGACCTGTGCTGACATTTAATTTAGAAGGCTTAACGTCTACATGTGATAGTCTTCTAATGTGATAGTCTTCTAATTTTAACACTGAATATAGCCATTTTGCTCATAAGTCTCAATTTCACAGACTACAGTATAGATGTAATAGAGCTGACAAATCCAAAGATGCTATAATTTTAGTAAGAATAGTGACGGGCCATCCTGAAATCATGGATCCAAAGTATAAACTGTGATAGAGGAGAGACCTCCTCAGAATAAAAAAATCTATACCAGAGTATCTTATTCAAATTACTTGATAAAAGTGCCTTTCAGTGGAATTAATTTTAAGCTTATCCTGGAAAACACTTGAAATAAAAGGTGCCTAAATCTCAAATTGTGTGCAGATTAAAGCGTTGTGTATTTCAGCTCAATGCATTTGAGGCTTTGCCTGTGATAAAAATAACACAACATAAAGGCTTGCTTTAGAGTTACATACTGTGGCTTTTGTCCAAGTAAGACAGCAAAACCAATGTAGGGTCTATATACAACTGTTTTTCCAAATTAAGCGTATATTACATCTGAAGTATCTGCCTACAACAAATATGGAAGTGGACTCTAAAGTTATGGTAATTTTTATGTTTGTTTTAGAAGTGAGGAAGTCATAATATTGAAGGCAACATTGCCTGATGACTCACCTCATTTTGCAATATATATTTTTCCCTATATATATGTCTGTGTTTGCGTGTGGTGCCGTTTAGTGTCATGATCTATTGTAGACATAGAAATGACATATGAGGCTTTGTCTTTGTGTTGGTAAATAAATTCTTTCATTTGTGTGTGCAATGGAGAGTCTTTGATAATTCTAAGCAGCAAAAAATAACTGTAGAAGAACACTGGAAACTTCATGATGCTTAACAAAAAATATTGTCAGGTGTTGTGGTCTTAGAAATCTTGGGATATCATGTGGGTGTTGGTGGAAGTATTTTTCTTCTGTTGACTTCTTACTGTCGAGGTGCTGGACTTGTGAAGACTCTCTGGGGACAGCAGAAGCATGTTAGGGCGAGGCATGTAACTATGGGAGATCATTGCAGTGCTTTATGCAATTCCAACCAGTGCTGGCACTTATTTTTACAGTTGGGATGTCACCATAGTATTGGCATATAGGTAATTGCTCCTTTTCAGAGGTAGTCTAAAAGTTTAAATATATCTGAAGTGCTTTGAAGGTAAAACATAAAATCTTTACTAATTGTTAATAGGCCTTTCTTCTTGCATTTTAGTCTGAAAACTGGATTCTTAAAGTGGAAACCAGATTATGACAGTGCAGCTACTGAATATGGGAAGGCAGGTATGTATGGCTGTAAATATGGCCATATACTTTATGGTTCCAAAGTATTCTTTAAGCTTAATTGCTGATAATATTTTACGTATTTTCAGTACATTGATGTGTAAGTAAAACTGTTGTGAAGACAAATTAAGATGAAACAAGAAAAAAACACTCTTAGTAGCATTGTAAAATAAATTTTAGATTGTACTTGGAAATCTAGAACAGTTGTCAAAACAGGTTTGTTTTTTTTTTTTTTTCAAGCTTAAAACTTCTACTGTGTATATTACTACATGTGATAAAAACAAAGCTTTCCTTCTTTCACTTGTCCATCTGCAAATCCTGTGACTTTACCTACAAACCAACAAATATTCGAGCTGGTTTTAGAACTTTGCTTTTTCATTATCTTATGAAGTATGTTCTGAAAAAGACTGTCTCAGTAAGGTAGGGAGATGCTGCCAATTTTTTGTAGGCATAGTAAGATCTCTTTCCTCCTTTTTTTTCCACTGCAAGCGTCACACTGAATATAAAATTCCTACTGGTTAATTTCTTTTTGCTCTTAAACAATTTTCTTTGTGCCGTGAAGTGGTTGTGTTGTGGAAGTTGTTATAGGTATGCTTTGTTGATGGTACACTTCTATTCTTGCCATACTGATTCTGTATAACCTCTAATGATTAAAACTATATACATACGCAT